CTGATGTGACAACATTTAAAGTGAAAAATACAATCAAAATTGGGTCAGAAGCTTTGACGTGATGTTCGTGTAAAAATGAAAAATATGGAATGTTATTACGTTTACAGTAGACAAACACAATCGACCTACTTGTCGCGTTACATTCTTTTATTTGTCACTGCATATAATAAAACGTGAACTCCGTACACTTCAAGCTTGTACTGGTAACACAAATCAGCCTAGAATTCGCCTTAATTATGCCTCATAAACTGCTATCGCGCGAATGCATATATATCATCCTGAAATTATGTGACCTGAATCTGCCCCACTGCATATCGGCGTCGTTTATTGTATTGTCGGATATTTACCGATTAAGAGTTCTTAGAATTTTTCGGCAATTAGATTTATGTAAACAAAAAAAAATACATAATGATCCTGAATTTTAGTAATCTATTACAAAACAGGTATGGAATTCACGAGTAGTTATTGGAAAATAACTTAGTAATGAACAAAGTATTTTTGTAACATTTAAGTGTCTACTATGTTTATGTAACGTATGTTTATTTATATTATTTATCATAGAAATCGAAATTGTTTATAGTTCTAATCTTTGCGCTTAAGATTGAACATTAAAATATGTAGAAAAAGTGCGAAAAGATTGTCGCCGCTGTGGGAATCGAACCCACGTCTTCGGCATTCGTGGCCTAACGCTCTAGCCACTGAGCTAAACGGCTGATTGCCACACCGACGAATATCTTAACGTCTTTTTCTACATTGTTTTCTTAGCATTTATTTATCATATTTTATATTATATATATTTTTAGTAGTAATAATGTAAAAAGTATATGTACTTAATATACTCGATAAAATATATTTCGTTCACAACAACGCTTGTATAACATAAATTGGGTATAGATAGCAGTAATTTAATAAAATAACCTACTATGTATACCTGATTAGGAACTACGCCTAAGTATACCTGACTAGGGACATATAACGTATCTAACTGATCTATATAAACAATTTACAAGATTAAGGCAAACACTTAGCGATTATCCATCCCTATATAGTTTAATCGCTATACAAAAGCACATAAAACATTTCAACACAACGAACGAAGCTCTAAATTTCATCTTTCAGAACATAAAATCTACTAGAAAATATAAGTTCAACCTACTTCAATCACTCATCGTTTTTCAAGGACAGGTTTGGGTAAGAAAAAAATCGTACATAAACGGATCGTCCCGCAAAACTTGATATGATAAAAAATCCAAGCCAAGAAGGAAGCGTAGTTTAATCGCAAACATCAAAGACATTGTGCAAATCTAGAAATAATTTGAATACCTACATGCTAATAACATATTTTTCCCTTTTTGTTATCTACTCCAACTCTAATTAATAGGTTTTTGTCTAAAATTGCAACACCCTTACCATTATCGTTACGATATATATTTGATAATGATCAATAAGGCGTAATGGATGCAAATGGCAAAGTGTCGTTCGTTGTGGCGTTCTAATGGGGAGGCCTATGTTCAACAGTGGACGTCTTGCGGCTTATGATGATGATGATGATGATGATGATGAACAAGACTAAAGTTCACCCGCTTATGACTCCTCAACCAAGGTATATAAGGTCTTTAGTATTTCAAAAATTATGACAATATCATCTTAACTGTATCCCGTCCAAAACCAAGGAAAGCACAACTCTGATGTGTGTATCTCTGAAATCACGAGATACATTCTGGTAACACGCTTCAGTGGGTGTTAGTTTATTTTTTTTTATGTGGCAAGGGAGCTGGCGTTTCACCTGATGTTAAGTGATAACCGTCGCCCATGGACGTTGGCAATACCCACAAGGTTGCAAATGCGCTGCCACCTAATAATGAAGTGAGCCCCGGCTACCTCGCTCACCAGACGCAACGATTTGAAATTAGTTTATTTGTTTCAGTCAACTTTACGCCAATCGTTATCACAGTGCTAGTAGTGGCCTACTGTGGTGTCAATAGCACGGAAGTAGAATTCCGACACTGAAGTTCAACGAATATAACGCAGTGCCTGGAGGACCGAGCTTTACTCGGTTTTTTTGGTAAATCATGTATTTTGGAAATAAAAAAATTAAGAAATAAATAATATATATATTTATAATGTCTATACCAGATCATTGCTTCGTATCTATCGCTCTATTCGTATCATATGATCATTTTTTATTATATATATATATATAAGAGGACCGAGCTTTACTCGGTTTTTTTGGTAAATGATAAAATTTTGGAAATAAAAAAATTTAAAAAGTAAATACAGCGTGTCGTTACCATCGCGACAATAAATGAACACACATATAGGGGATAACTTTTTAAAGTTGTATTATACATTTAAATTCTTTAAACATCAATATTTACAGAGTTATTAAATTTTCCAAAACAAAGAATTTTAGAACAGCCTTACCTATAAAAGCGTAACGTAAAGTTCATTTGTAAAGGTCACAAAGCATCTGAATGGGTTGAACGAATTTAAAAGAGATAAAACATACTGTTAGAAGGAGAGGCTTGTAATACGACGCTGTGGCGCGAGTTGTATAGGATGTTACAAATTTTGTTTCTTTTTTACTTAATTAGTTTGTTTGAAAAATATTTTTTTTTAATTATGGATTTTCTTTAACGTTAATATTTTTTTATGATCATTGGCAAGTAGCGTTAGACGTGTGTTCATTTATTGTCGCGATGGTAACGACACGCTGTATATATATATATATATATATATATATATATATATATATATATATATATATTTAATATTAAATATATGTATATATACAAGATATATATATACAAGAATTGCTCGTTTAAAGGATAAGATTCATGATTATGCGCTTGATGAGTTAGGTACTGAAGACCAAAACACAACACAACTGGAGACAGTAATCAATTTATCAGATTCACCTTTTTTTCCATAATTCATTAGCAAAACGTTGCTAATACTTTGCTTATACACTACAACGCTATTCACAAAACACATCTTGACTTCCGCCGTAATAACACAATAACCCATTAAGAAATGTACTAATAACATTATTGTAAACTCATCATCCGGTCACGCCAAGGGTGCGCCAGTAAAAATAGTCGCAATATGACACAGATAACATTTCATTGCATTTTCGTGAAATCTATTAACGTCAACATTGTAATAAAATGTTGCAAAGACAGAGTTTTATTTTAAGAGGATCCGAAAAGAAGCTTGTCTTAGTCATCGAAGTTGCTAGAAGTGAGTCTCGGTTAAATTCATATAATTTACTGTATTTAAAAGTTCCCCAAACAATAGGACTTTCTGGTAAGATATTGTGGGCAACCAGTTTGACGGATAAATGATCTAGATTCCTTTCACTGGGGAGAATCAAAAAAGTTTACTCAAAACAATTGTTTTATTGCAATTGCAAAACGTAGCCGAGCATAGATGATTAAAGAGCTAACGGGAAATCTCTCAACACTGGAAAATACTCTCGTCCTGTTACAAGAGCATTTAGCTCTGTAGAGCCTGCCTGACGATTGCATTTCAATTGAAAACAGGCAATTTGCAATTTAAAGAACAAGTACGATATTAGTATTTTTGATGACGACGGTCTTCGAAACGAACAGTGGAACGACGATTTCTTTTCCACATTAGCTGTTCGTCGCTACACATTTACTGAAATATACAGAATCTGGATTAAATGGGAACAGCCCACATATAAATGGTTTGGAAAATATGGATATTTCATGAAAAAATCCGTTAATTACTAAACAAGTACGAAAACGGCCGAAGACGTGGGTTCGATTACCACAGCGGCGACAATCTCTTCGTACTTTTTCTACAAATTTTAATGTTTAATTTATAGTGCAGAGATTAGCACTATAAAAAAATTTTAATTACTTATTAGCTTATAAGCTGACATGTTTTATATTATGTGGAACAAACCACGGAAAATTTTTATATCAATAACATTCTTATATAGATATATAGATATAAGATATTATAGATATATGTTAAATATATGATATAATGTTATTGATATAAAAATTTCGCATAAACGAAAATATTTCAAGCATATCTTTAATAGATGGTAAATAAATAGAATTATGGTAGATTGTGTCTAACAGTGAACTCAATCATATTGAACTTCAGAACATGGCGTATTATTGGTCAGTGACTCAGAACTATACGACGTAATGCAGTTCTTGATTTTAAATCAGCACCTTAAAATTGATTTCTAGTACAAAGTTCTGTTGATGTTTTCGATGAACTATCATCGCTTAAATAATCGTTTAAGCTTCTATAAATCCAAATTTTGTTATTTTTTGCCTTTATTTTAAGTCGATTTCAAAAAAGAAGGAGATTCTAGGTTCGATTGGATTTTTTTAAATTTTTGTTAGCTCTGAACTACGTCATTTATAAAGCGATTTTAAAAATTATTTTGCAGTGTACGCTTTAGCTCAAATTTAGTCACGTATTAACATAGGAATGATAGTGTGTGAAATGTTTGAGGCACTGAGTCCTTGGATTCGTCACAGTAATATATAACTTTGCTATTTAGCATCCATAAAACAGTCTCACATAAAAATATTGTGTACTATAAGAAGTTTAAGTTTCTTTATTTGCTGATAAATAGGTAGTACAGAAAAAATTTTGGTCTTGTTATCTTGTTGTTGTCACAAATGTCAACCTAACCTATTTAGCTGTTTTAAACAGCATGCAAATGTCCAGAAGATATATTTTTGTTGTGTATGTAGGTAGATGTGAAAACATTACCGATTTACAATGTTGCGAGAGTTCAATAAACCAGTCTGTTCTGAATCTCTGAGTATCATTGTCCCGTACATTACACTGGCGACGAGGATTACAAAATATTAACGAAAATTAGTTTTTGTTAGTTTAATCTAAACTTACGCGTGTGTATTTGGCTATTTACAATGCCGTTTGGTAAAATCGAATGTTTTGACATTAGTGGTCAAAATTGGGACGCTTATATTCGTCGTGTAAAACAATTCATGACATTGAACGGTATCAAGGACGAGTTACACGTAGCAACGCTTGTGACGTTAGTTGGCGCAGAGTGTTACGAGTTGATGTGCGATTTGTGTTCACCAACCCAGCCCGAGGAAAAAACATTCGATGAACTGGTTCGACTAGTTAAAGAGCATTTGGAGCCCGAGAGATCGGAGATAGCAGAAAGGCACCTCTTCAGGCAAAGAAAGCAACAACAAGGAGAAAGCGTTCATGCATATTTACAAAGTTTGAAGCATCTCGCTAAAAGCTGTAATTTTAAAGAGACCCTTGAGATGAACATCCGTGATCAGTTCGTTTCGGGGTTGTACAGCGAAGAAATGCGTTCGCGGCTGTTTGCGGAGAGAAACATAGACTACGCGCGAGCTGTGGAGCTATCATTGGCGCTGGAGGCGGCGGAGCGGCATGCGGGGGCGGCGTGCGCGACCGCGCTCAGCTCAAGCGGCTACGGCGGCGCGGGCGCGCGGCTCGCTGACGACGGCTTGCATCGAGTGAGCTCCGTGCGGCCGCGGCGGCGGCGGCGTCGGCGGAGCGGGCGCGGCGGGCGCTAGCCTATCGGTGCGCAACACGTGTCGGCGGTGTGGTAACGGGCAGCATGCTGAAGGCAAGTGCCGCTACAAGTACTACACATGTGATTCTTGCGGAGAAAAAGGACACCTCAAAGTTAGGTGCGGTCAGTTTGTGACGGGTGGTAACGCTCCGAAGAAAAATTACAAGTCTAAAGGTTAGTTTTTCATGAACAATAACTCTGATAATGATTCAGATGATAGTAATTTTTATAAAATTGTTGTTAACGATGGTGATAGTCCATATTACGCTAACATTAAAGTAGAAAATATAATGTGCAAATTTGAAATAGATACGGGCAGTAAGATTTCAGCTGTATCTAAATCGTTTTATAATAAGAATTTTGTTAATATTCCAATAATAAATAAAAAAATAATGTTAAAATCATACACGGGGGACGTTATCGAGACACTTGGCTATATTAATGTTAATGTTATGTTTGAAAAAAAAATCGCTAACTTAAAATTATACGTAATTGAAAATGTTGGTCCACCATTAATGGGAAGAATATGGATCCGAGAGTTAAAACTACCTATTACCGATTGTCATAATATAGCTGAGGACTCGATGGCGACTGCCTTACGAGCCGAGTTCCCCGAGGTGTTCGCAGACGGCTTAGGCACATTCAAGTCGCGCATACGTTTGTCTTTAAAGGACGATAGTCCGGTATTCGTAAAGGCGCGGCCCCTACCGCTGGCAGTGCGTGCTCGGGTAGAGGACGAGCTCGGTCGCCTGCAGCGGGAGGGTGTTATATACAAAGTTGATAGATCTGATTACGGAACGCCGATTGTACCCATTATTAAAGCTATCGGGGGAATTCGCATATGCGGTGACTACAAGGTCACTATTAATCCACGTTTAAAAGACTTCCATTATCCGCTGCCACGGATTGAGGAACTGTTTGCCGTACTGGGCGGTGGCGAACAGTTCACGAAGCTAGATCTCTCCAACGCTTTCCAACAGTGTGTTTTAGAGGAAGACTCTCAGCCGATGACGGCGATCACCACTCACGTCGGCACTTTTATTTATAGACGCGTCCCATTTGGAATAAAATGTATTCCAGAGAATTTTCAAAAAATAATGGAGGAAACCTTGAGTGGCTTGCCGTCTACGGCGGTCTTCGCAGATGACGTATGTGTCACAGGCAAAAATAGAAAAGAACATATTAGTAACTTGAAAGCTGTGTTACAAAGATTTAAAGATAACGGTCTGCGAATTAATTACACGAAATGTAAATTTTTTAAGGATAGTGTAACATACCTAGGTTATAAAATAGATAAGAATGGTTTACACACAGATATGAAAAAGATTGAGGCTATTGTAGGCGCTCCCAAACCGACCAATGTCACACAGTTAAAAAGTTTTATGGGACTTGTTAATTTCTATGGGAGATTTTGTGTTAATATGAGTGACATTCTGAAACCTTTATATAATTTATTAAAGAAAAATGTTAAATGATAAGTGTGAGTTTGCATTTAATAGAATTAAAAAGGTGCTGTGCAGTGCTCCCGTCCTAGCGCACTACGACCCGGGTCTCCCACTGATCCTATCGGTGGACAGCAGCCCGTACGTGCTTACGCAGGTGCACGCGGACGGCGAGCGCATCGTGTGCTGCGCGTCGCGCACGCTCTCATCCACTGAAACCAACTACTCCCAAATTGACAAGGAGGCGCTCGCCATTGTGTTTGGTGTCACTCGTCACCATCATTACTTATACGGTAGAAAGTTTGTTCTACGCACTGACCATCGTGCGCTCAGTTATATTTTTGGTAAGAATAAAGGCATACCAGTCACGGCCGCGAGTAGATTGCAACGTTATGCCGTTAAGTTAGCTGCATACGACTTTGATATACAGTATATAAGCTCATCCAAGTATTGCCAAGCTGATGCTCTATCACGCCTTCCACTGAGCTCGACGATTCGAGCTGGGGGTGAGGGCGAGGACTGCAGCTATTTTACATTACAATTTGTTACAAGAGAATTTTCCACTCAATTTTAAGGATATTAAAAAGGAAGTGATGAAAGACTCGTTACTTAGTAAGATATATGGATACATAATGTTTGGTTGGCCCGCAAAGGTCGATTCACCATCCGCTAAACCCTACTTTAATAGAAGAGATAACTTACATATCATTCAAGGTTGCATAATTTGGGGTTACCGAATAGTAATACCGTAATCATTAAAAGAAATGGTACTGCGAGAATTACACGACGGACATCCCGGCATCGTAAAGATGAAGCAGATCGCCCGCAACTACGTGTGGTGGGGGTCTATAGACGGAGACATCGAGCGCACTTGCGAGAGTTCAATAAACCAGTCTGTTCTGAATCTCTGAGTACCATTGTCCCGTACATTACAATTTTTATAATACAGTTGTCTAATTTTTTTTTTTTTTTTACATGTAACTAAAATCGTCCTACAATTTTAATAGATATATTAATTAATTAATGCATCGATTTTTAAACAAAAAAAATAATATATGAAATAATATTAACAACATTAATTAGGTATTCTTGTATCTTGTATTAACTGATGTTTTTGCTTTCAGTCCCGAGACTATTAAAGCTTCATCGGACGTAGAACCGGTGGGCTAGCCAGAACCCACGGGTTTGGACCTTCCGCTATGGGTAGGGTCGCGCATGTGCTCATGCGTGCGTTTAACTACTATGGTGTGTCATCTAAGGGCCGTAGAGGTCGCCGTTTCGGACCGAGACCCCGACGGCCGTCGACTGTGCATTTAGCTAATCGGTGGCTGGGAGCGGTGAGAACCGCCCCGGAACGCGGGTGTACCTTGTGTACGCGTTGTGTGGGTCTCGCCGTGCTCGGAGGCGAGGGCGAACTGGTGTGATTGTTGTTACACTAACTGTGGGTGTAGTGTTTATCCGGCGGGACCCCCGGCGGTGGGTCCATCGTATCTAAGTCCTCTTCGTCGACCGGGTCGATGAGGACGTTTCGCGGGCGACGCTTGTTTACGTTCGCGTTTGTGTCCGGTTGGTAGTTTGCTGCGCTTACCACCAGAGGGTTGGGATGATGCTGGGCTCTATCGAAGAACCGTTTTGTTCCTTTAAAATGAGTTCCTTTAAATGTTGTTTCTTTAAAATGAGCGCGAATCGTCGGGAGTCTGCAATCGCTGTGCAGGTCGACGTTGCGCTGATACCATTGCGCACCGGTTGCGCGGCGGATAAACTTACTTTGAACTACTTGCAATTTGTTAATGCGCGTAGGATTTATATGTGCGAAGATCATGCAAGCGTAGGACATGATTGGCCTTACGCAAGCTTTATATAACAGTAGTTTGTGCCTTAAGGGCATTTTACTATGTTTATTCGTTAAATTGTGTAGCCGGCCGGAGACGAACGCGGCTTTATTTCGGACTTGATTGATGTGCGTAGTGAAAGTCATACGCGAGTCGAAGGTTACTCCTAAATATTTGACCGTTTTCTCCCAGGGGAGAGTTTGGCCGTATAGTGATATTTGCCCCAACTTTCTGTACTGGCGAGGACCTTTGTAACGGTGTGGCGGATGGGGGTTGGGGGTGCTACGAGTAAAGTGAATCGCCACACTTTTTTCTGGATTAATATCGATTCTCCATTTGCGGAACCAATCGCCGAGGCGGTCGGCGGCGCTTTGGAGTCGAGTTGTTAATTGACTGAGGTTGCGATCTGAGTAAAAGAGCGCCGTGTCATCCGCGAAAAGCGCGAGATTGACGTGGCGGTCTCTAGGTATGTCGCTCGTGTAGGGCGTAAATAGCAAGGGTGAGAGGCAGGAGCCTTGTGGTACGCCGGCCGTGAGGCGGCGGCTTGTGGAGAGGGTGCCCTCGACTCGATATCGAAAAGAGCGGTTCAACAAGAAGGCCCGGATGGTGTGTACGAGCCTATCTGGCACTTTGAGTGTGTACAGCTTGTAAAGCAAGCCGTTGTGCCAGACTTTGTCGAATGCTTTTGCGACATCGAAGAAGAGAGCCCCTGTACTGATGTGTTTGGGGTGGTTGAGGCCTTTTAGGATGTGCTCCGTTAGGCGGTATAACTGATCGGGACAAGAGTGTCTAGCTCGAAAGCCGAATTGTTCCGTCGGCAGAAGGCCGTTGGAAAATACGTGCTCTTTGAGCCTGTTTAACAATAGCCGCTCGTAGAGCTTCCCCAGACAACTGAGGAGGCTGATGGGACGATAGCTGGAGGGCTTATTGGCTGGTTTATTCGGCTTGCGAATGCCGATAACCGTGGCTTACTTCCAGTCGTCCGGAAAGGAGCAACTGGAGAGAAGGGTATTGAAAATTGTCGCCAGTAAACAGATAAGCGGCCCAGGGAGAACTTTGAGAATCTTATTACTTATATTATCTGGGCCCGGGGCGGATTTTGGTTTTAAATTTTTAATAATATCATGGACCTCTTCGGGCGTCACTGAATTTAAAGGTTCGCCTTCCGGTGGAAGCGCAGCCCTAGTCTCGATTACGCGGTCCACCTCCGTGAGGTGGGCCGAATCGGTGTGTTCGCGCGATGGCGTACATTGCTGCTCTAGGTTGTCCGCAAGGCATTCGGCTTTTTCGGAGTCATCTAGGGCTACTGAAGCGCTATTAGGTCTAACTAACGGCGGTAGAGATTCGTGGGGGTCTGCTTTCAGACTGCGGGCCAACCGCCAGTAGTCGGTGTGCGATGGCTCGATGTCCTCTAGGAGAGTGTCCCACGTTGTGTGTCGGTGTTCCGATACACGATCTTTGACTTCTAGCTGAAGGCGTCGAAGCAGGGTTCGGTTCGATTCCGATCGGTATCGGTCGAAGGCGCGTTTGGCTGCATTTTTCTGTCTAATTAGCAGTCGCAGGTCGGGCGGAAAGTTAAAAACCGTCGGTCGCCCGACAGTTTCACCGTCCGTTCCGAGTCTGCGACTGCGGAAGTAATAGTTTCGCGGAGACTCGCTATCGCTCGATTTGCGTCATCGAACGTAGCTATCGTCTCAGGTAAGTCTACTAAGTCCTGGGGGTCCAAGGCCTTGAGTTTGACCTCAAGACGATGCCAGTCCACTGCGGATTTGGTCGGAGGGACCGCACCGGCGTTCTGGCCCAGTTTACACAGGACGGGCCTGTGGTCTGAGTCTAGTTCATGGATTGTCTCTATCGACTCGATGTCGAGCGAGACCTCCCTGAATAACATTATGTCTAGGACACTCGGTGACGCGTGCTGGTAGTTGTCCACCGTAGGATACCTAGTGGGAGTCGCGGGAGCGACTATACTGAAATTTAGGTTATCGGATAAGCTAAAGAGATGCTTTCCGTTGTTGTTTGGGATGCTGTTGATGTCCCATGAGCCGTGTTTGCAGTTTAGATCTCCTGCAATTATCACGGAAGGGCCTAAGTTAAGAAGCGTATCTAGGTCGCTTTGAAGGAGGGTTCTATTCCCCGAGAGGTAGGCTGAGACTAGTACAAGCGGCCTGTGGCCGGTGACCGCTAACCTACATGCGGATGCCTCTATTTGACTTAGCTCTGGAATGTCGAGCGGGCAACAGTGCAAGGACCGTTTATAATAAATAAGTGTGCCTCCCAGACGGTTTGCTAACCGGTCGTGGCGGACAATATTGTAATTTGCGATTCTGGGATCGTGTACACTAGGTTTCAAGAAGGTCTCTTGCACTAGGAAAATATCTACGTTATAATCGCGAAGGAATTCCGCGATTTCATCCCTTTGACCCTTTATGCCGTTTGCGTTGAAATACGAAACAACCAGAGCCCGAGGTTTTGTTCTACCTGCGGTTGTACTTCCCATTAAGGTGTTTTTATGGGTCTAATTAACGACGCGGCGGAGCGCGGTTTTATTGCGCGGACTATTGTTTTTTACGGTTGGCTCGTAAAAGCCCAAAGGGCTTCCACAAGCGTTTTGTGTTGGCTAATTGCCCTAAGACGCTCGTGGCCAGATGTGGCGGCCGCTATTTTAGCGGACAATACGGCGAGTTCCTGCCTATTGATTCTATCTAATAAGCTGCAGATGTTAGCTATTTGCGCGAATGGGTCGTCCTTGTTTTCCGCGAAAACTGACGGAATTGGCTGCACCTGCGGCCGCGGCGCCGTTTGAGAGGCGGGCAGCTGTTGCGCAATTGGTCGTGAGGCGACCGGGATTACCGGCGCGGTTACCTGCACGGCCACCTGGGGTTTCGTCCAGGCGTTTACGACGGGTACGGGCGCCGGAATGAATCTAACGGGCGCGGGTTTGGGCAACGTCGATTTCGCGGGAGATTTTCTCGCGGGAGTTTTCGGGGCCTTAGCGCAGCCTCTGTAGCTAGCCGGGTGGCCGGTGGCGTTACAGTTTACGCAGTCCGGTGGATCTGCGCAATCTTTCGGCCTCGTGCACCTGGTTGTGCCGTGGTCACCGGTGCATTTGACGCACCTTGGGTGAGCGAAGCAGTTATTGACCGTGTGGCCAAAATGTTGACAGTTGTGGCACTGTGCCACAACACCTGATTTACGTGGGGGCTCGATGACTAAGTCACTGAGCCCACAGACCCTCTTAAGGTTGAAAATGGCCTTACCTTCCGGGGTAGGGTCAAGTTCCACCATGACCATGTCCATAGGGACACGGGTGCGAGGGTGCCTGAGACGACGCACGGCGTGAACAGGGTATCCCTGAGTGTGGATGTCGACCTTAGCCATATCGACATCCGACTCTTTTGGGACGCCCTTAATTACGACCCGAAGTTTACGCTCTTCGGGTAGTGAGTAGGTGTGGAAACCTACCTTAGCTTCGCGCAAGTACTTAGTTACGCGACGGAAATCGTCCGAAGAATCGAGGTATACGCGGATACCCATATGCGTATTCTTGGACCGGGGGTCTCGGATGTTGTGGCGTTCAAACCACGAACAAACATGGTGCCACTTTGCCTTATCTTGTATAATTATTGGCGGCGGTGGCTTGATTTTTCGCTCGGAGGCGAATGTCGGTTCCGACTGGGCAGACGCGGCTGCCTTTTTGGCGGGCGTCGCGGTGGGACGGTTTGACGGGGCGGCCTCGCTTTCGGGGTCGCTGTCTGTAGCGGGGCGTTTCTTGCCCTTTTTTCGCGATTTGACGACGGTGAAGCCGTCGGCGTTCGCGTTGTTAGCGGGGGTCGTTTCGACCTCCATGTCTGAGCCGCCGTCCGATTGTGAGTCGGGAACGACAGCGCGGAAGGGGGCCGAAATTGATTGCGCGGAAGGCGCGTTAGGATCGATCGCGGCGGCGGAGGTCGACGCGACGGGCGTTTCGATTGTCGCAGAGGGCGACACAATAACTGGTGCAGAGGGCACCGGAGATGGGGGCGAGGCGGCAGCCGGTGAAGCCGGACTGTCGCTAGAGAATTCGACGACAAGGC